CCGCCGCCCGGCTCCGCCGAGCAGCACCAGGAGGAGGAGGAGGAGGATGGCAGGGACCAGGCGCCCGGCGAGCGGGCGGGACCCCAGGACCTGGGCGACGAGGTGGAGGACTTCAACGAGGCGCAGTTCCAGGCGGTGATGGCGGCCCCGGAGAGCGGCGAGGAGGCCGGAGACAGCGAGGAGGAGGAGGATGAGGAGGAGGTGCTCCAGCTGCAGCTGCCCGAGGACAGCGAGGAAGATGGACACGGTGAGGAAGAGGAGGACGGGGAGGAGGAACAGGGGCTTAATCTTTACATGGACCGCAGCGCAGAGGAGGATGGAGGGGAGGAGGAGGAGGAGGATGGAGAGAGTGAGGAGGAGGAGGAGGGAGACGATGGTGAAGATGAAGACGGGGACCTGTCCATGGAAAGCGACTTGGAGGACCGCCGTCAGGACACCAAGCTCCCCCATGAGCTCTCCTGGGGCAAACGCAAGCAGCTCTACTACGACACGGACTATGGGAGCAGCGCCCAGGCCAAGGGCAAGCGTAGCAAGCAGGAAGTCGATGCTGAGGAGGAGGAAGAGGAGCAGGAGGCTCAAGTGATCCAGAGGAGGTTGGTGCAGGACTTAGAGGAAGATGATTATGGGCTGGATGTGATTCAGGGCTATCTGGCCGAGCAACAGAAAACCCATGATAGCAAGGGGCGGAAGATTGACAAGGATTTGCAGGCTCTTTCTAAGAAGGAGCAGCTCAAACTACTGAAGCAGGAGTCCCCGGAGCTCCTGCAGCTCATTGAGGACTTTGAAATCAAGCTCATGGAGCTCAAGGACGAGCTGCACCCGCTGCTGCAAATGGTTAAAAACGGCACCATCCCACAAGGGAAGGGCAGCCGCTATCTGCAGACCAAATATCAGCTCTACCTGAATTACTGTGCCAATATCAGTTTCTATTTGGTTTTGAAGTCCAAGAGGATGCCGGTTCGCAGTCACCCCGTCATCGAGCGGCTGGTTGCTTACAGGACTATAATCAATGACCTAGCAGTTATAGATCAGAAGTTATCCTCACAAGTTCGGATGCTGTTGAAAAACTACTACAATAAGAAGGAAGATAAAATTCGGAGGGAGAAGAAGTTTGCGGTATTTCTCCCACTGGATGTCAAGAAAAACAAATTCAAACGTGCTCCCGCACTTGCTAATGGCCGGGCTCCTGCTGGTGAGCCATCAGATGAGTCAGACCTGGACGAAGAGGCTGCCCTGAAATACTACAAAATGATGGAGGAGAAGCTGAAGCTGAAGAGGAAGCAAAACGAAGACCAAGACACGGCTGAAGAAGCAGCGGTGTTGGAAGGAGCGGATCCGGATAAGAAGAGAGGTGTGACCTATCAGATGATCAAGAACAAGGGCCTGACGCCCAGGAGGAAGAAGATCGACCGCAACCCCCGGGTCAAGCACCGGGAGAAGTTCCGCCGGGCGAGGATCCGTCGGCGGGGGCAGGTGCGCGAGGTGCGCAGGGAGGTGCAGAGGTACGGCGGGGAGCACTCCGGCATCCGCGCCGGCGTCAAGAAGAGCAGGAAGCTGCAGTGAGGCTGCTCTGCCCCCGCTTCCCAGAGCTGCGAATCACGCTGCTGAATCCAATAAAATATTTTTTAAAGAATATTGTGGATTTTTTTTGTCCTTAACGAAAAGGGGTGGGGTGGTATTGGTTTTTGTGTTTCAGGAGCACAGGACCCTTTCCTCACCTGGCTGATGTATTCGGGTGCTTTCCTCTACTGTGATGCTGGCATCTTTCCACACTGCAGACAGGGGCTTTGAGAGGCTGCACGGGAGGTGTGGAGCAGGGAGGATGGGATGGGATGGGATGGGATGGGATAGGATAGGATGGAGGGACCTCCGGAGGGTGGCTTGAGAAGCAGTTCGTGCTGATGTCACTGACTTTTTACTGTCTTGTTCTGGTCCTCTCTTGGTCTGCATTGAGCTGCAGAATGAGATGTGTGGTTATGGTATTTTATCCAATGCTTCTAGTGAACTTCTTGTGCTCACATGTTTAAGAACTAAATACTTTTAGTCTCTCTTAAATCCTTTCAATTCTGCGACTAAGCAGAAAGCCATCACTGAAATCCCGTGTGGCCTGAGATAATGATTCCTTTCCTGAATTCAGTGATAAGCAAAGTGAGGGCTTCCCTGGATTTCGTAGCTATTTATCTGTGATAAATCCCTTAATGTCATTGATGATAAATATGTTAACTTTTATTTGCTAGTTTAGGTCTGTTACGGGTGTAATCGGTACAGGACAAACAGGTAAGACATTACACCTTCAGTTTGAAGGTAAACTTCCAAAAGGTTTCCATTCCTTCCCTGCCCTTTGGTGAAAAAGCCCCACATTGAAGTTCTTGCTGGGAGCCGGCTTTGAGTGCTCAGTTCCAGTTCAGGCTGTCGAGGAGAAATGAGTAATTTTTCTAAAGCTTTTAACAAACCAGGTCTCATTTGCAAAGACCTGCATTTGTGTCGGGTGGGTGCCTTTGTTTGTGTCCTGGTAGCATCTGCTGGGTCCCACCGTTTCCTGTGTGAAATCACTCAAGGGGAGTAACTGTCTTGTTAGTAAACGCGAATTCCTGTTAGGGAAGCATTGGTGTGTCTAGGTGCCTTGTTTTCATGGGGTCTTCTATTTGGGGATTTTTTTGGTGTGATAACCTGGGAGGAAGCCACAGTGCGAGTGTGTGTTCTTGAACCTGTGAGAGGCTTTCATTAAAAGATGCAGGTTTGAAGTAAGGAGGCCTTTTGTAGTCCCTGTGTCCAGGATCCATGGGATGTGGAGGGATCCATGGTAATTTTGGATGGGATTCTGGCCTAGTAGATTTGTAGCACAAAATAGTGAAATGCCAAGTTCTGCTGACTGTGATGGCCCTGTGCTTGTTTGCCCCCTGCTGCTTACAGGACAAACAGCAGTTAAATGCTGCATCATAAAAAATAAAATATTGCTGCACAGAAACCGGCTACAAAGCACTGGGGGTTGATCTGCTCTGGGAAATTGCCTGAGTCAGTGAAGCAGAAGTGATTCTTCCTTGCAGAGGTCACTAGACTTTTCTTCTTTGAGCACTGCTCTCTGGAGCCTCCTGGCCTCAGGTGGGGTCTGTAACCTGGGTAAAGATGCCCTTCAGCTCTTAACTCACCCGCCCTGCTGCAAGCAGCCAGCAGCAGTGGTAGCAGCATGCTCTTCCCAGTGAGGAATGCGTGGCTTTTGGTGCGTCCCAGCCTTACCAAGGAGGGAATGAGAGCTTGTCCTACAACTACACCTTTTATTAGCTTCTCGCTGGGATCACAATGGAGGCCGCTGCTGATGGTGCCAAGCCATGCTCCTGAGACTTTGCAAAGTGGTTGGCAAAAGGTACTGTGATGAAGGAGAACAAAAAAAGCACCCTAGCTGCTTTTTTTCCTGGGGAAGAATGGTGTTGTACAACAGGCAGAGTGTGGAAAATTTAAAATATCCAGCCGAGATGCCGACAGATCTTTGTCACAGCCCCTCACGCAGGCTTTGTGCAGAAACGAAGGGCTGGCCATCTCTCTACATCTGTCCCAGGGAAACTTCGCCCACTTCCAGCAGAGCAGTAAATAAGGGCAGTAATAAATAAGTGGGCTGTAGAGGGGTGCTCCCCAGGGCCGCGGGGCTGCAGGCTGAGGGGGCACGGTGCCGCGTCGCCAGCCCCGTTAATGCAGATGAAACACGGCATTGTGTTCACTTGGTTGGTTCAGAGGTGGGACGAGGCCATCAATAGTTCGTTCCCATATGGTTTCATGTCTGAGCGGCCACGGGAAGGCCGTGATTCCTAATGCCATGGGAGGGGGGGCGCTGTAATGTTGCGTTACAACGTGTCCCTCCCATGCTGTAGAGAGATGCT